AAACATGAACTGTATAAATAGCTGAGTTCCCAAATAATAAAATATGTAAGCAAAATTTGATTGCAGAGAAACATTAATATTATTGATGAAACAAGACAATTGGTAATTGCTACACCTGGCCAGTGTGAAGAAATCAAACAGTTGTCAGTTTCATGATATCTAAGTTGTTGCATTTATTGTATGTTGCCAACTAATGAAGTAAAGAGCAGGAGATCTTACCCATTTCTGTCAAATTTCTTGAATATACCTAGACTATTCATTGGATCTTCCAGTTTGTTAGCAGCATCTACTTTAGCTTGACTCACAGCAAGTTTAGCACTCTCCTATTTGAGAAGAAACAATTATATTTTATGTCATTAAAAAAACATGAGTGGAATACCAAATTTGCAGTGTTGGGGGGTATGGGGTATGGGGTATCATGAAGCATTTTACTTGGAATCTTGAAAAATTAACTTCTTAAGTTTGCACCACACTAAAATTGAACTTGGTTTCATAGCAATTTATAAGGTTGCCAACTTTAAAGATGATCAGATAAAAACTGTTGTTAATGTAAACACAAGAGACAATCTTGACCAAGTGTTACTAAATACAGCAAACACAACACATTCTACTACTATGTTCATGTTACAGGATCTCGCCACGTGCCAACATTTTTAATTCCTTGTGTTTGCAGAAAGATTAGGACAGTTGCGTTCATGTTAGGGGAGAGTAGGAAATCAAACGGGCGGTTCACCGTAGTAACGAAGGCGGCTCTCCGCGGTACACTGGGGAGAGCCGCGGACTGATTATAATTAGGGGTCTCTACCGCGGTACCGGTTGCAACCGCGGTCTTAGGAAAGGTGTGTAATACGTACTTAACAGTTTCCCTTGTGATTCCACGAGTCTGTTTCAAATAGCTGTTTTTAAATAGAGCAGGTTACGAGCATCGCTGGCATGGAAATACTAAGCATATGGTAATATTATCGGCCCACGTATTTTATTAATATAAAAATCCATAAGTCCAATGCTGTATACGAATTGTTGTTGCGTGAAACAATGGTATATGTTGTATTTTATGCATGTATTTATCACCAATTCCAAAAGTAAAAGTCGTAACTTTCGAAGGTACGAGTATTATGACTCGTCCATACATTTCACTTTTGTTACACTTGAATAAAGTCTACCACTTGAAAAGAATGTTATTTACGAAGTTTTAAATAGCCGAGCCTTCCTGATTCGAGCCTCTTGTTGATTTGACAACGGTGGGTATCATTAATGTTTATTCTTTGCCTGTATCGCATTCCAGACAAAAAGTTCAAGATCGGTAAATAAGAAATGGACGAACTAAAATGTCTACTGTGTTTTTCACATGCGACATGATTATTAAAAAAAAAAAACAGAGTTAAGTGGTCATGTACGTTCTATAAATCTAACCTTGCACACATAATCTTGTATTGACGTGTTTTTTTTTGTAAAAAGCGACGTTGCCTTTCAGTTAACTTTTCGCGTACATGGTATTTGTGAGAGTTTACAGATTTTTTGAACAAATGTTAAGGAACTATATCGTTTTGCATCAAACTGGGTGGCCCGAATTTAAATGTCAGTGCGTGAACTCATTGCCCATTGTCGCACGTAATTCAAACACGTGGTTATTAGAGTTCAGTCAAAATGTACACGAATAATGCGATCGAAGTGTGCTGCAAGTTTATTATAGAACAAATTAACTTTACGCATGATATTGTATGTTATTGTATGGTTAATGTTTAACACATGTTCACTTTATTTCGAATAAAAGTATGTAAAATATTTTCTCGACTTTCGTTTAATAGACACCTGACTCCGGGACCTGACTATCTTTTTCAATGATTTAAATGCGCCCATGTTTATATTTACGTAATAATTACGAATGCAACGCATTATCAAGTAGGTAATATTGAAACATTCACAGACCCAATAGCCCGGGTTAGTGTCCCAACAATAATAAAAATAACTTAGTTTGCGTAATTATTATAAAAGCAATACATTGCAAAAATGAAATATTTAGAGCCTGTGCAATACTGTACACATGTTTGCATTATTAGAAAAGCAGCACGTTAAGTAAACGATGTTGAAATATTCAAAGCCAATACAGAGTTGGATACAAGTTGTGTTATTACAGTACCGCCGGATATAATAACAATTTTACCAGATGGACGAGCGGACCAAGAAAGAAAAAGGGTTGCTAAGGCAACGCGCCAGTTCAGTGCGTGACTTGGAGTCAAACTTCGGTCAACACACACTTGATGTCAGCATCGCCGCGTAGTAAGTTTGGCAAAGTACTTGAAGTTCAATTGTTCCCCAACGCATGTTGTACCAAGTCCATGATACACCCCGTTTTGACTTTGGCTTGCTTTTCCTTCTTAGTGCATGTTCTTGTTCACGTAAAATGCGACCTCTCACCAATGTATTAAAACACTTTGAATTTATACTTATGCGTGATTATATTTGGTCCATGCGAAACATTAATCTTTCTAAACATTTTCTGAGACCATGCATGATATATATTCACAAAATAATGCGATCATATTTTATATTACCGGATTCGGCTGATACCCCGCCCATCCTTAACCCCGCCCATGGGCGATGTTTCAAATAGTGGGCGATGTTTTGGTCCACACATTGCCTGACTGAACTAACAAACATTTTTACAGACCCCAATTTTCCCGTCCGACATCTTGTA